GGAGATCTATGTTTATCAGTAGAATTTGATAGGCGGTAAGAGGTAACGGTCCATATAGCCTTAATTCAGAAATGTTTCTACTTTAATACATTAAAGAAAGCAAATAAGTATGTGTGTATTGAAGAGTAAAACACAATACGTTTTTTTAACTTCCCTATGAAAATCAACGATTTTAAAAAATCGGGAAGTTATTAGTTACACCTCAATTTTCGAAAATACATCAGATCTTGACCTTTTTTAGATCCTAGGAAGCTTTTCTGACTATTCCTCATTATGTTTGTATGTAGGTGTGTCTATTTTTGTCATAACTTTTCGAAACGGTTTAATCAAGATTGTTAATACTGTTTCAACCAATTCAAACTGGTAGATTTTGATAATTTTCAAAAAATGATTTTTTGGAATATTTTTTAGACAGATGTAACGATCAATTCCAAAATCAGGTCTTAAACATGAAAAACGACGTCGATTGCTGCGAACCGCTTCAAAATCAGTTAAAGCTTTGAAGAGAAATCGATGACGAAAATTGCGAAAAGTGTTTACTTTACATAACTTTTGAATTTATCGTGTAATCGTTTTCATAATGTATTTTATTATTATTCTTAAAATACCTCGTCGATTGCCACCAATTACACCAAAATCGGTTGATCAGTCTGAAAGTTATCTTTGTCAATTTTTTTTTAATAACTTCGAACTGTTAGTTCCTATACATAGCGGGGAATTCCGGGGAATGACTGCAGGGTGAACCGTTTTTCAGATTTTTGCCCAGGAATTTGTGTGAATAGGAATCGCACTGTTACCTATTTCTAACGCGACTTTAAACAATCACTATAATTACAGTATATGAAACTTTTCATCATAATCTTCAAAGGTAACAATGCATCTATGGTCCTCATTACTTCAAGTTACTTGCAGCTGTACAAGGGCTGCAGTCGCCACTTACCATCAGTTTAACTGTTTTTTGTCACCGTTATGAAAAATCCACCATTGATGAAAGCCCACCACCTTATTAACGTGACGCAGATTATGACTAACCGTAATTATGGTATAGCTTCCCCTTAACTCCGCTGCTGAAACGTAGTCAGCATCAGATCCATTGACCAGATAGTTCTCTAGGGCTTGGATAGCTGTTTTTTCTTGGTCCCATGGGACGGAAGTGGAGATCCACAGACTAGTTATTGGCTGCAACATTACCATTGCGAGGGTATCGGTACTCAACTCTAAACAGCCTTTCTAGCTGTTCCATCCAATCTTAGTACGCAGAGTAAGAGGCAATAACGCATCAGTAGCATTCTTTATGAGAAGTTTATTGCAGGTGTCTATGAGCCGCAGCGGTCACTTACCATTGGGTGGACAGTAAGTTCGTTAATCACTTAAATTTAACTTAAGAGGACGTCAGTAATCGCACTTCATTATTATCTCTTTTGGTAGAAATTAAGGATTATTACTTTTTAAAGTAGCAGTTTACCAAGTACCAGTGCTCAGCGACGAGAGGATAATACATCGTGAGGAAATCTGCGTATATGAGGACCAAAAATGTTCTGTAGACATTCGAAGTCCGTCAACACATCCAGGAAAAGCGCGACAGTCTAATTATTCCATAATCCTCTCATAAATTAAAGAAGACTTGCGCCTAGTATAGAGACGTATATTGCCTTTTAACTTTTCTTACAGCGCTTAAAACATAGAAAATTATTTTAAAGATATCAACTTCTACTTGTTGATTCAAAGGCCCCGAGCACACGACGTCTATGGGCCAAGTCGGTGCAGCAGCTGGGGGCGTGTCGTGGACTGGTATCGTGCCGCGGAATATGCAACGAGGCACTCTATTGGGTTAAGTTAAGGCAACGTACTACATATTTTAAAAAGTTAAAAATTACAGAGAAAGTTTATTTAATTTGACAACATGAATAATTTATCACCAGATGTATTGTGTGTTCATAACTCGTTTGTCTTTTGAAAGGGATATAACATATTAAGTATTCTCTTTATGCGTCTGAAATTTTTTCCAACTTTATTATATAGAGTTCTTCATATATGAGAAATTTACGATATTCCAATTTTTGGCTACTGTGAGGACTAAGATGGAATGCCTGCAAAGAACTGAAAATAACGGAACTGCTTTGCATGCACTGTTGCTTCCAATGCTAAATAGGAGTCCTTAAACATGTGGAAAATATGTAAAGTTTGCCCTCATTATAAGGTGTATGGACCATTTTCAGCTCACGGATCATCCAAGAATTTAGAGGCTTATTTTAAGCAGTAAGACGATTATTATGTGTTAACTTCAGTAGCTTTAAATAGCTCTTTTAGATCACATATTGCTTTTTCATTTTAAACAAATTTAATTGACCAATAAAATCAACACCTGTACTCACAAACATTACTTTGTCTTTTGAAAGGGATATAACATATTAAGTATTCTCTTTATGCGTCTGAAATTTTTTCCAACTTTATTATATAGACTTCTTCATATATGAGAAATTTACGATATTCCAATTTTTGGCTACTGTGAGGACTAAGATGGAATGTCTGCAAAGAACTGAAAATAACGGAACTGCTTTGCATGCACTGTTGCTTCCAATGCTAAATAGGAGTCCTTAAACATGTGGAAAATATGTAAAGTTTGCCCTCATTATAAGGTGTATGGACCATTTTCAGCTCACGGATCATCCAAGAATTTAGAGGCTTATTTTAAGCAGTAAGACGATTATTATGTGTTAACTTCAGTAGCTTTAAATAGCTCTTTTAGATCATATATTGCTTTTTCATTTTAAACAAATTTAATTGACCAATAAAATCAACACCTGTACTCACAAACATTATTTTGAGGTTTCATAATTCGATTGAACGTGTAGGTACAAACTTAGTCATAAACAACACTTGAGTAGCGAACGATAACTATGTAGCTAGCAAGCTTCTTTACGTCACATATAGTGCAACAAATCAACAAGTGTCAAATTAGTATCGGATCCCTAAAATATTATACGGGATACCTAGAAGTTATGATTTATTTGTTTTGTTGATTGTCTTAGTAAATTAAATTTGATTATTGTTACACTTTTTTTTTCTAAATAGTTTTGTTTTAAAAATTGCGATAGATTAAAGAAGCAAAGAAGGGGTGATTGTTATATAACGGTGAGTTTTAAAATCGATTCGATTACTACAATGTTGATACATTTGAAAGTCGCTATATATTTATCAAAATACATCGTTAGAAACACGGGTAATGAGCGTAGAGAGAATTTAAAATCTTGTTTTTGAACATTTTTGAAACTTGCTTATTGGTCAGTCAACTCGAGTGAAGTTGCATCAGGACGTTAACAAACAAATTATAGCGCCTCGTTCAATGCTATGCGTAAAACGTAGTGATTTTATAATATTTGGGTATGCGTATGCGAAACAAATAGTTCTTTGAGTAATATTTATGAAATTAATGGCTGGCCATACCCAATGCCCTGAAAAACATATTACATAATACAGCGTTGTTCCTTTACTTATGAATGTAATGTTTGTGAATAGGGGTTAGATTTTTGGTAAGGCTTCGACTGCCTCCTTAATCTAGTGATCGTAAACGTGGTTGCAGATCATGAGGTCCCAGATTGCAGATATCCTAAACCACGTTTTATACGTGGTGGAGCCATGCTGCAGTTATATTAATAGTATAGTTGTAGCACGAATGGGTCGGCTCGACCGGGGAAGGACCACGCTCTCACAGAATACCAGCGTCAAATAGTAGCTTAATGCTGCTGTGTTGCGTATGGTGAGTGTAGATGTAGATGTCTATGGGCCATAACAACCACTTACCATCAGGTGGGCTGAGTGCTCGTTTGTAACCCTATCCTATAAAAAAACAGTTATTGGGTTTTTTCTATCAAGAAGTTCTCAGTAGCAGCCTAGAATCAGGAAATTCACAGTGGTTTACCCTCGGAAAACACGTAAAACCGTTGGTCCTGCACCTGATCTCTCTCCGGTCGTTTTAAATTGCAGTCAGAGCGGACTATGAGTGTGAGGGAATAGAGAGTGCACTTGTGCTTGCGCATACACTCGGGCACTATAACGGTCTCGTGTGTAGATGGCTAGTTTTCGTGGGAATGACCACTGTGACCAAAATTCGGGCTGGAAGGCATTTTTATTAAACGTGAAATCTTTTTACCAGTCAGAGCTTCTCTACCTAAAACTTTATGTAACTTTCTAAACTATTTTTTTCATCTCCGTAACTAATCGTTAAGCCGCCCTTGAGACAAAACAAATGTTTTGTTTGTAATCTGATGCTGGCTTGCCCTTAACCATTAATAATTTATGACAGTTACAGTGCTTCTTTAAAATATAAATAACAAAGGCCGTCCATCCTTTGAAAATTATTTATTTATTGTAATTACATTCTTTTTACATATATTTACATATTTTATTATTAAAGGTTGCGCCTTAGACCAATGACGTAGATATTCCTTTAGTGACAAAGTACTTTTTCGAATGGAAATCTAAAATACCTACCACATTTTACGAATTATACTATAGTCATTTAATAATTAATAATAAGTTTTACTTGGCGTAAAGAAACATTCATATTTATTACGTATACACAAAGCTAAATATATTTTTACATAATTTACAATAAAATAACACCTTTCGTTTAAAATAGTACGTCCTATATTCACAATTTAAATCTACATGTTACGTTAAATTTTAATATCACTTCAAATACATATACTGGCACGTTATTTATATTTTATTTTACAATAAATAAGAGTATTTGGTATCGAGAAATGCTTATAAGTCTATTTTCGACTAGCACTGAAAAAAGACATCAATAATTATTATTGCATTTTGAATTTATATTATACTGTCATTTAAAATTGACTGAAACACGTATATTTGTAAAATTTGTAAAATCTACATTTTTAAATTAGACACACACTATCTAGATAAAATTGGAGAGATGTTAGTATAATATGTAATGTCGTATATAATTTCAGTGCAAGTCTTACAATATAACTGAGCTATCTATTACCAAAAGCTTGTTCACACTTTTCTATTTGACTTAAAACTTTACCGATTCTTTCATGGAGAATTTTCGCGTTTTTTTCCGGCAAAGGCGGCAAAATGTCCCTTATCACTGCATTGTTTTTTTGATGGAACATTTCACTTAGTTTTACACCCACTGATTGTTCATATAAAGATTTTAAAGCGTTAACGGTTCTTTTTCTAAACACGCACAAGTTATCTAGCATTAAACTATGATACACATTGTATTTTTTTAACAGTCTATATCCGTGAAGGAGTCCTGATTCGTTGTCTAAAAATAATAGCAGTCCACTATCCATCTTTCTCGCCAAATTATGTGCTGGGCCGTCCATGATGTTGATGTTCCATTGATAATTAAACAAGTTATTAACGATTCTATCTAAATTAGCTGTCAGGTAATCGAATATTATGAGATCAGACCATTGCGCTAATTCGACGAAGAGTTGAATCGTTTGCTTTGTCAATTTAATTTTTATGTGATCAAACGTGTTGTCACTTTCCTTTTGCTGATTTTTAACATTTTTTGATTTTAGCTTATTAATCATAATTTGCTTAGACGTATCCTTAACATCGCTTTCTTTTAAAGACATTTTTAAAACATCTATTTTGTTGAGATGTCTATTTGAAGGCTTAAAAACTTCTGGAATTGTGGCCGATTCTAAGCTTGGTATGTATTGAGTAAGAACAACAGCCCTATTAGAATTCCATTGCGCAGTAGAAATATCTCCAGCGACGCTTTGCCAAAGTTTGTCTTTCAAATCGACTACCTTAACTACCGACGGTGCTAAATTTGTTAAGTTTAATAATCTTCCCACATAAAAGCTAAAAATTTCGCCTTGAATTTGATCAGTGTTTTGTCTGTATCGAACACAGGCCTGAATTCCATCTTTAAATGTCACTAATCGATTTTGCATTCTTCCACATCCATTTTCCATTTTAATAACTTCGCTCTGCTCAACATATCTTTCCCAAATTTCAGCTGTATTTTCTCCGTAACCTTGAGGCATAGAATTTTCAACTTCGGGCCCCCAATAAATGTTGTCATATAAAACAGTTTGGTCATTAGGAATATAGTCAGTTTTGTTAGTAATAACATTAGCGATGGAATGCTTGTGATGGGTATTTTTGTTATCTTTTAATATCTCTTTCATGTCCTCCGTTAGACCTTTTGGATATACATCTTTACTGTATTTTTGCGTTTCATTGTCCCCGGTGAATGATACAGACGTAAATCTATTTAAATCTTTATCTTCTTTTTTTACTTCTACATTATTATTTGTTCTAAGAACATTATTGTATTTTAAGGAATTTAAACTTCTTGCATGAACATCTCGCGAGCTATTTAATTTTATTACTTTTCTAGCAGGATTTAATACAGGATTAAATACAGGATTCATTACATGTGTTTGTGGTGATCCCATTATAACAACACCAATAGATAATCCTAGTATAAAACTAATGCAAACACTTACAAAACAATAATTGTAAAACCCGTATTCCCTTTTTATAGCAATTCTTCGCGATAGTTCTTCTTTATAATGAAATTTGTTATAAAGGAAGTAGTTTGGTTTCTTCATTTTGCAATAATTAGTTATAATTGGTACAGGTTTCTGTCCTAGCTCTTTAATTCCTTCTTCTTTCCTTTGGTTTGTATTTTCTTTTAAATCTTCTAATGTAGGAATTCTCTTTTCGTTTTTATTACATTCTTCTTTATTGTTGTTTATTTGCTCATCGGTAGATCGTGTAGTGTTATCCATTTTCATATTTTGATTTCTTCAAATCTGAACGGCGCTGTTATTCATCTGCAACAAATGAAAATAAGCATTAATACAATTAATTAAATCGCAAAAGAGAATTAGTTAATTTAATTTATTTAGTTTTACTATATGCTACGCTACAGCTATATCAGTTGTAGCACGAAGTAAGACCACGCTCTCACAGTATACCAGCTTAAAATAGCAGCTTAATACTGCTGTGTTTCGTATGGTCAATGTAGAGAATGGGAGACCCTTTTTTCTGAAAACGAGGCATACCATTTTAATCCCTCAAGTGTGACGACGTATCTGCATTTTGATTCTTAATCGCGGATAAATGTAGATGTCTATATGTCACAGCTTCCAATTACCATCAGGTGGACTGTGTGCTCGTTTGTCATCCTTATTCTATAATAAAAAAATAAATTTGATGAATACTTTGACTTTCGTGATGACGTTTTTCGTTTAATATTAATTGAACTTTATTAAAAAGTCAATGTTTTATAACTGACTACAACCTATGTTCGTGTAGTGGCGTCTACCCCACAAATCGTCCCTTGGGTATCGTAAAAGGCGAAAGAGGAAATCAAACCAGTAAATGGGCAGTAGCGTCTTTCTAACAACAACTATAAAAATCTAAAGCAGCCGTTGCCAACACGCCTGCCAAGCGTGGGAACTATGGCAAATTTTCCCTCTATGAGGCAAGCCCATGTTCAGCAGTGGAATTTTTAACAGGTTGTTACGGTAACGGTAACCTTTATGAATAATTTAAATTTTAAGAGTTACGTAGGTGGAATAGCAACGGATAAATAAATGAAACTGCGAGAAGTAGAAATAGTATTCAATTAACATGTAATTAAGAGAATTAAGAGATTAACATTAGAAGCATAATTTAATTGATAAGTTTTGATTCTTCGTTTAGATATTAGAATTAAATTTTATATTAATGTAGACTTTAGTTAGTACTTAGGTCATATCAGAAAATCAATTTATGGTTTTCCATTGGAGGTTCCATGAGGTTTCCATTAGCTTCCAATGGAAACCTCATTGTTTATCAATTATGGAGCTTTAAGATATAGTAACTAAATAATTGAACATAGTGAAAGCTTTTAATGAATATTTGCAAAAAGTAATTAAACCTTCTAAAGTGACGCGTAACTGTAGTAGATAAGAAGTAAGATATCGCACGAATCAAAGTAATTAAGTGATTAACGCCACTTGTATAACATCGGACAGACGGACGAACGGACAGAAGTACATATGTCAATCACAGAAGAGATTACAGTATAATATTTGACATGTAACATTATTATATCGTGTTATTAAATTAACACGTTTACAACGTACGGTTAGGATCGTGTCGTGCTCGGCTCGGATCGTGTTGAGACTTCAGTGTATTTTTTAACGCCGCTCGTTAAAGATTTTGGAAGATCGGTGGGACAAAATCTTGGTAATTACAAAGCGATCATATCTTTTCATAAGTATATTATAAATTGAGTATGATACATAAATTTTATAATTTATGGTAAGGAAACACATAAATACCCATGCGGATTATGTTATAGCTCAAAATCAATCAGGATCCACGACGCAGTTCGGTATGCTGTCACATGCCAGTTAGGAATTAGTTTAAATTTGACTAATAATTGCACGTTTAAATCTTAATATATATAAATTACGTGTCACGTTGTTTGTCCGTGATGGTCTCCTAAACTACTTTACCGATTTTAATCAAATTTGCACACCGTGTGCAGTTTGGTTCAACTTGAGAGATAGGATAGTTGTTTTTTTGCCCGTGAGTGACCGATAACTTTTTATTTTTACGAATTTAAGGATTTTTAATTGGGCATGAAAAAAGGTTGTCGAAAAGAGCAGAACAACGTCTGCCAGGCAAGCTAGTAATATATATATATATATATATATATATATATATATATATATATATATAAATTCAGATCTAAAAATGCCAGAAGAGCTGGCTTATTTAGATCTCAGTAACATCTTTAACAAACTAGTAGAATTTAACAACTGACATTAATAATCATCCCGCAATGTTTGTACATTGAGGAACTCACAAGTTATCATATTAATTTATCGTGAAACATAAATAAATGTGAAATGTGAAGAAATTTGAAAAGTAGCAGATATGCTGTTCTACTACGTGACCGGTGGTGAGGAAAACATCTTGAATATATTAAATGTCCGAGAAATAAAATATTTTGAGGACATGTATGCTTTGCAAACACGCATAGGAGTAGCGCTGCGGCATAAATCCTCCTTAAACCTTTTACAAAAGAGAGGAAGCCTTTATACAGCAGTAGGACGTAAACAGTCTGTGACTTGACTCATTTCTACCACATAATATCATCATTGTATATAAAAATATGGTGCCGTGGAAGCTCAGATGGTTAACGTTCGCTGTAAATATAACAGAACGCGAGTAACCCGGGTTTGATCCCCGCCGGCACCAGTGAAATTGTTAATTGCAATTTTAAGTGCTGATTTACCACGTGCTCGGCGGTGAAGTAAAACATCGTGAGAAAACCTGCATGTCTGAGGAATAAGAGAAAAAAATATATTTCGAAGACATGTGAAGTTAGAGCCGTGGTAGCTCAGTGGTTAACGCTCGCTGTAAATATAACAGAACGCGAGTAACCCGGGTTCAATCCCCGCCGGCACGGATGAAATTGTTAATTGCAATTTTAAGTGCTGATTTACCACGTGCTCGGCGGTGAAGGAAAACATCGTGAGGAAACCTGCATGTCTGAGGAATAAGAAAAAAAAATATTTCGAAGACATGTGAAGTTTGTCAACACGCATTTGGGCAGCGCGGCGGACACTTCCTTGCCCTAAACCCTCTCAGAAATGAGGGGAGGTCTGAGCCCAGCAGTGGGACGTATATAGGCTGTAACTTTACTTTACTTTACTTATGTGAAGTTCGCCAACACGCATTGGGCCGCGCGGCGGACACTTCCTTGCCCTAAAAATCTCTCAGAAATGAAAGGAGGCCTGTACCCAGCAGTGGGACGTATATTGGCTGTAACTTATACAAAAATATGGTGCCGTGTTAGCTCAGAGGCGAAGCGCTCTCTGTAAGATGTCATAGTACACGAGCAACCCGAGTACAAATCCCGCTGGCACCAATGAAAATGCAATTTTAATTGCAATTTTAAGTGCTGATTTACCATGTGCTGGGCGGTGAAGGAAAACATCGTGAGTAATAAGAACAAAAATATTTCGAAGACATTTGAATTTGGCCAAAACGCATTGGAGCATAGCGGCGGACATTTCCTTCCCCCCAAAAGGTTAAGAGAGGAGGAAGTATATAGGCTGTAACTTTAACTTTTTATACGCGACATGTAGTATAATATATTCAAATTATCAAGTATATATAAAATATAATAATATTGAACATACAAAACACATAATGAAAAGCTAAATTTATCATACAGTTATTCTCCCCACGGTATAGTGCTAAGAACAATGCCTGCCTCGCTGTTTGACTGTGCTGAGCCTCTAAACTAGACAACACAGATTACTGAATCGTCGCGTTTCGATTGTGTGCTCTGTGCTCAAATATAAGCGGTATTGTCACCAGCGGCGTTGACAAGACGTGAATACAATTCTTTTAGATATGTTACCGCACTTGGACTTCAAGAACCAAATGCTCTAAAGCAAATGGGTTAAATCTATGTTCGATATAAAATTTTAAACTTGTAACGAAAATGTTGGATAATTATTTTTTTATATGATAGGGTAACAAACGAGCACACAGTCAACCTGATGGTAAGTGGTTGCTGTGGCCCATAAACATCTACATCTATCCTCAATTACGAATCAAAATGCAGATACGTGAGGTGAGGACTAAGATGGAGAGATCGAGTAGAAAGGGCGCCCGGTTCTCTACACTCACCATACGAAACACAGCAGCATTAAACTACTATTTTACGTTGATATTCTGTGAGAGCGTGGTCCTTCCCCGGTCAAGCCGATCCATTCGTGCTACAACTATACTACCAATATAACTGCAGCATGGCTCTATCCGTTTCAATCTAATCTTATCTGACCTGCTTACCTAACGTCAGGATTAAGTCTAATCCTATCAGATTTAGGAGCTAAAGGGCTACACATATACCAGGTCGTATGACTGATATTATCCCTAGGAGTTCGTCTGGACAGGCAAGAGTGTGGTCCTCTTCTTTATTTCTACAGCAAAATAAGGGTATAGAGAGCGTCTCATTCAGTATAGAGAGCGTCTTCAGAGGTGGCAACATGTCTGTAGCCTTTTTTATTTGAGGGTGGATTTTATAAAAAAAACTCCTCAGAATTAAAATGGAGATAATATAACCCGTTGTGATTGAGGTCTGGTGGATCATTGCGCGCTCGCCTTAAAATCTCACCGAGTTTGGTACCCGTCGGCGACAATGAAATTTTTAATTGTAATTTTAAGTGCAGGTTTAATACTTGAATGAAACTTGCATGTCGTAAAAACAAAACATTTTGAGAACATTATAATATTAAGTCCGTTATATGACGCATAAAAGCCAATAACTTTATTTAAAAAACGTAAACTCGTGTAATAATACTCCTTAAGTTTTTAAAGACATTTGAGTATTGTATTATTGTTCTTAAACATCATACAATAATATCGAGAAAATCGAGATCATTATTTAATTTTAAATTGGAGGTCACTTTGTTTATTGCTATTTAGCTGACTTAAGCCCACACAGTCGTAATTAAGATACAATATACTTAACATAATCTTATTAATTTGCTACTTAAATAATAGAAATTACTTTTTAGAATTACTTTAATAATAGAAAGAGTTTTAGCATCTAAAATCTAAATAAACCATGACCCTATTTACGACAATTTTATAAGTAAGAGATATATTCGATTTATTAATAAAGATTACGAACGAGGATATACTAGCATTCTCGGCCATATACAGCGAGTGGGCGGACTATACTGAATATATCTCTCATACACATAACACAACGGTC